AATTAGCAGGAGATAGCTTATAAAATGTCTCATGTTAGCTGATAAAATACCTTAAATAATGATTAAGACACTTTTTCTCGACTGAAACATTTAAATTAATTTCAAATTCAATTTGTAAAAGTAAATGTGGTGTTCAAGAATAAAACAAGTCCCATTAAAAAAATTAGTTCTCAATAAAAATGACTTGTTACTAAAGCTAGACACACATTAGCACCTGCTAATCATCATTATTAGCCACACAGAACTAGCATCAATGAAGTGACGCAGCAAGAATTAGCAGGAGATAGCTTATAAAATGTCTCATGTTAGCTGATAAAATACCTTTAATAATGATTAAGACATATTTTTTAACAACTGAAACATTTTTTATTACAATGTGAAGTGATAATAAGATCAAACGATACTTGTTACTACAGCTAGACAAGCATTAGCACCTGCTAATCACCATTTTTAGCCACACAGAACTAGCATCAATGAAGTGACGCAGCAAGAATTAGCAGGAGATAGCTTATAAAATGTCTCATGTTAGCTGATAAAAAAACCTTTAATAATGATTAAGACACATTTAAACATTTTATCACGACATATTTTCACGTGAAGACACGAGTGGAGCTGTTGAGAACAAAAAGGACATTTTGGCAACCAAATGAAAGCTGAAACTGAAAACCTAAAATGGCGGGTTAGCTTAAGTGTAGCAAGAAAACCAGGGGATGCTAACTCACCTCAGGTGGGTCACAGACACGATCAGCCATTCAGTCCCGAAGGTTTCCAGAAACTTCTTCTTCAAGTCTTCTTTTTCTTCAGGGTTGGTGTAAAAAGCTTTGAGCGTCACTTCCACTTGTTCCACCTTAAAAAAGACGACGACTGAAACTGCGGAGAAAAATGATTTGGTCTGATTAAGTAGGTAGAAAAACTAGGGGGCGGTACCTTGTGAGTGACAGGTGAATGCTGCCTGGCGATTGGCTGCGCGGGTTCATTGGCGGGAACACACGTCAGAAAGCGAGGTCTGTCTACTGCGCAGACTCCGACGACTGACGTCACCAGGGTAGAACATGGCGGCGCCTGTATCCGAGATATTTAAACTTTAAAACTGCGTTGAAATGCAGATGCGTCCTCCATTTTTGTAAATAGCCATTGGATTGTATTAAGTACAAGTTAGATCTAGCCTGAACAATATAGGATGGATGGAATGTATCACTTAATAATCACGTCCAAATAAAAGCAAAAGTATTAGTTAAAGTAAAAGGCTGTGTAAAAAATATTAAACTCACATGAAGAAAAACGTACCCTGAATCCCTAACCAAACATATTATGCATAGGATTATAGAAGGTTTGACTTTTGTATACTTGTACATGAACATACAAGTAGCTGGTACCACCCAGTCCATCTCTGTGATATATGAGGTCAGTGTGGGATATTAGTATTATTCCTCTCCCTCACTCTATTCATTGTTTTGTCTAGTTTTTGGTTTGACTCAACATCTGGTCACGGTAGGCGGTGCACAGAAGACCATACACCTACTGTGATTTTGAAGGGGAGAGTTCCCAGAATGTGGCCTTAATTCCTGCCCTCTCACTCACACTCACACTCACACACACAGAATCTTTTGATGCGTCCACAAACAAAACTTGGATTAGGGTGTATCCAGAAGGGATGTGAAGATCTGAATCATCAATAGTATGCATGCCAAGAGAATATTATCTCCCCTGTGTCATCTCTTTGATTTCTCCCCTGCTCCTCTCTCTTCCTCTTTCCTTCAAAAATCCTCCTCGTTTAATTCCACTCTTTTCTTTTTTTCTATTTCCCCTCCTTTCATCCGTCTCTTGATCTTGCCTTTTCTGGCCCTCACTCACACTGTGCTCCCTCTTCTCCCTCTCGTCCAGTTGTTACAGGTTGCCGTGCAGAAATCCCAGACGTGTGTGCCCGTCTGGGTTTTACTACAGTCACCAGGTCTGCCAGTGCATCCCCAATTACATGAGGCCTGAGTGGAATTAACCAATCACAGGCCTGACAGTGGAGCAGGAGTGATGCCCTTTGACCTGAGGCTTCAAACTCTTTGGCCAGAAAACAAAGGAAGCAGACGTAACTCTTTGACAGGAGGACATGAACTACATTAACTTCTATTGGATTACAGCAGACTACAAGGAGCACTTGGAGGAGTTTTAATAAGGCAGCCCGTGCTCTAACACTCTAAGCTAAAGGAGACTGGTTCTTTTCCCAATGAAACAATAAGTCCAACCACATGCAGTAAAACCAGTAAAAAGACAAGGAAATGAGGAGATATCTGACTCTCTTGGCCAATGACTGACTGGAAACGACCTGTCACGTTGCCTAAAAACTAAGCTGCAAAGAGCGACAGGGGTGGGCGGGATGGACCAACCAGAACCTTAGTCAGCATTCATCCCTGCTGCAGCGAGTTTGAGCAAGAAACTCAACCACGACCGTGTGAAATGGAAAGTAGAACAGGATAATAACAGGCTGCACCCCCCCCTCCCAGATTAAGCTGTAGAGTCGTGACATATTTGAGAGGTTGAAGGATTTACTTTTGCAGAGTTCTTGCTCGTATCCCCTCTTTGAGCAGAGGTGGAAACGGTGATAATATATTTTATTGGTCCAGAGACAATTTCCAACAATAGATGAATGTGTCTATTTTAAAAGGGATTGAGTGAATCTCTTATTGCACCTGAGGGGTTTTATTCTGGCACATGAGAAAAAAGTGGATTTTTAAATCAGGAGACTTATTTGGTGCAGCCTCTTTCATTTTTTTAAGAAGAGAGAATTTGTTTAATGCCAGAACCTGTTTCATTAAAAGCTAATTTAAACACTCCCCACAGTTATTATATTCCAGTTTCTACTTGCCTCTACTGTAGTGCTGCTCTTTGAAGATTGCCTTTATACATGGCTGAATCCATTCACAATGGATGGCAACACTTGGGTAGTTTTAGTTCATCCTATAATTTAACTTTACACATTCTATGTAAAATATTTTGTAAATATTTAAATCTTTTTTTTCATATTTAAAACAGTGATATTTTGAGGATGGAATTGCGTTGTTGTAAAATTCTGTATTTAAGTCAGCATCATAACTAAATATTGTTTTGCCTACATGTCTTTGTACTCCGCTAGTTTTAATTACGATGGAGTAATTGAAATTTTACCCATCAACTTTTCCTGCACTGCAAAAAATGTATGTTAATAAGTCTCTTAAGACGCCTCAGCTTCAAATGTTACAATCTTCCAACTCAGAAATACCCTAAATGTTAAGATGAAGATTTACTGCAGTGTAGAAATGATTGTAGTGTTTGTGCTTTATGGACGTAGAGAAAAATATCGTTCCTATGATTAAATATTTAAAGTAGTTCTGAAGTGTTGATTAAAAGCATCGTCAGACTCCTGTTTTTGTCCCAGTTTTGTTCATGTTGACTAATCTTATTGCACTTTCTTGAGGATAAGGTCACAGTATAAACACTGTTTTAATAATTTTATCAAGTGAAACACAAAATAAATAAACGCTTTGTGAGTCAACTGCGTACTTGTTGCCATTTTCAGGGCATAAAAAGGCTGTGAAATTAATTTTCCCAGAATAACTCAACCCACAAAGGACATGTTTGATTTTCCACCAACCAATCTCTGTGGAATTTTCACAGTATTTTAAAAAAATATCAGAATTTCAGATTGTATTTTGCCATTTCATGCAACACTGTTACTTTTCCTGTCTCACAATTATATGTTGAACGCTACAACTGCTAAATAAGTTCAGCTATTGTAACAACAGCACGAGTGGATAAGAGTTAATTCATTTGCCAACTTGCTCAGTATCAATGTACTTCTTATATTTTATTCTGTAGAGTCAGTAGCAGCAAAATCCCCAAATATAACGCACTGAATTGTAATTTATCCCATTGCCGATGAGAGTTTTGATTCATAGAATTACAAATGTGTCATTTTTTTCTTTCAGTTATATCCCCTAGGTCAAGTAACAGGTATGCTTTTATTTATACACATCATAAATGTAGTATGTGGTATCCTAACACACATAATCCAACTCTAACAGATACAATGAGTTCCAAACATGTCACTGCTCCTTTGCGTGATAAAAAAAACACGTTACCTTGCTCAAGTTTCAAATTACAATACAGTGGAAAAACAACCCTCCACCTGCCAGTAAACAGACCCACATGCACCCACCTGTGAGCGGGAACCTGACTCTTCCTGCTTACTCCCGTTTCTTCTTCAGACTCAGATGGAAAATGGAGTGATCGCCTTTCAGTCTGGCCCCTGTCTGTCTTATTAACCTGCCAAAACACTTGTTTGTCTGAATCGTTAGGCTGCTTAACAGTGACTAATGCAGAGTAGCAATGACTCACAACCAAGCCAGAGATCTGAGTAATTCGAAAGAGATGATACAGCTGAGATTCAGCTGTACCCTCATTTAAAAAATGAGGAAGAAATTGGGTTTGTTTCTGAGTTAATGCTTCTTGTCACTCTGAATACTCAGCTCATAGTCCAGAAGTGAAGTCCATGGTGAAGAATCGGAGCCTGAAGGTGGAAATCCAGGTGTTTTGGCTGCAGGTGCGAGTTCAGTTCCTTTAAAAATCTGAAAAAAAGGTCATTAAAATTATAGAATAATCACAATCAACCTCAATTAATTAAAACAAGTATGTTTTATAGAGCTGAAGTTGCTTTGATGGATATTCTTGTCATTTCAACTATTTTTCTAGTCTCAGAACATTTAAGTTAGGAGAGAAGAAAAGAAAAGCAGATTTATTAACGATGGGGAACTTAAAGTTTTACCGGCCGTGCCTTTGCCACACGTTTTCACTATGGTCATAAGAAAATGTTCATAGCTTCAATATTTGAAACCAAAAACAACTCTGGTGTCAAGGGCTGCCAAACACTGCCAGCTAAGTATTTTTATTTGAAATCTTTTATTGCTGGGTTATGCACACTTGGCAGCTGGGTTCCCATCTTGGATTTATCCATTAGCTTCACGTGTTGGCTTGCAAACTTTTCTGAAGAGCAGGGACATAATTTAGTATTCTCTCTCATCTCTGCAGCTGAGGCTGTCTTATTGGTTTCATTCCCTACTGTTGGAATAAACTGCCCATTACTCTGATTAAACCCTGTACTTTTATGTAATTGAAAAACACTTTAAGGCCACACAGAATTGAAATAAGTTTTATTGTTTTTCTTCAAAGGACAAAATATAAACCCAACTCGAACATCCCATTTTTATAATAAGCCATCGAAACTCTTCAAATATTTACAAAAGATAGAAAATAACATAAATAAATATAACCTGCTGCTCATTAAAGACTCGCGCAACCTCCTCCTTAATTACACTTAAAACTGTGGTAGTTTTACTGCCACGTCTCTCTTCCTCTCTGGAGGAATCCTGAAAGACAACATTCAGCCTAACAGAGAATTCACAATGGTTCTATGGTCTTGTACAGTTCAGTAAAGATTGGGGGGAAACAAAAGATCTATATCAAAGTGAGAAAATATCACAGAAGCCAAAATGTCAGCTTCTCCTCTGACGGTGAACAATAGCAGAGCGGATCAGTGACAGACTCCAGCAGAGTATTAGTGGGATACTGGCACATTTTGAAGTTGTTTCTGCAAAAAGAAATAAACGTCAATGGATGTGACTGGAAGACAAAGCATTTCTTGAAATAAATGCAATTAATCTCATGTCTATGTATAAATCTGAGAAAATGCGTATATCATCATGATCAAATTGTTTCATAAAATGTTAAAAGAAATGTGTTAAATTATCATGATGAGGATCGGAAGATTGCTGCACGCTGACCCCTACTGGTTACTCATGATGACAACAAGCAGAACCTAATCAACCCCGAGGGCGACTCAACATTAGAAATGATTCAAACAAGAATTATACTTAAAAACCTTTCAAATTAGAAATTGATAATAGAAATCATACATCATTCAAAGTTTAGACTCTACATTAAATGTGTGACCTCAGGATGTTAAAATAACATAAAAGAATTTCAGCTGAACAAAAGTGAAGATAATTTATGAAAAGAGTGCAAAAAGCAAAAGTGTCATGTTATGGCTTACTGATGTGAACAATATGTATCCTAGTGGTAGCACGAGCAGCCTTTTCATCAAGCATCAGTTCTTTTTCACAGATTTCAAGAGCCCTGCCTTAAACGCTTCATCTCCAAACCAGTCGAAGCCGCTTGAAACAGCCAGAGCAGGCACTTCAGTACAAGCTGTCTGCTAACAGTCTGACTGGGATCCAGGTCAGTAGTCTTTTTTCACCGATTGGCTGTGTGTGTTCTGGCCGCTCCCTGGCCTTGCATTACAGGCACATGCTGCAGCAAACGTCAGTTCGCACAAATTTCAGTTCCCTGCGTTAACGCCTGAAGCAGTAGTCTCTGCCCAAATGAAAAAAAACAAGTCAATCAGAGAAGAGTCTGTTGAGGTATGATCCGTCCAGGGGCTTCATGCAGGTCCACAGGTCGGTCCGCTTTGCGTTTGAGACGATAATCCGTTTTGACTTAATCACATCTGTTCAACTGTTGCCTGAAACAGAAAAGAGATTGTTTAAAAAATTGAACCTGTATGCTTGTGTTATTACCTCTGCCCTGGAGGTTAAGTTTTGATACATGTTTCAATTCAAGACTACATATATAAGAACTAAATTATGTTTGGACTAATTTTACTTAGTCAATACATAAAATAAATGAAAGCCTGTTGGAAAAAGAGGAGCTGCTGTGTTGACGCTTGCGATTTGACTAATCTATAACAAAGGCTTCTTACTCACCTTCATCATCAGAGTCGAACCCAAACAGGTTGGAGCACCTCTGCAGTTGGAGATGACCCTGCAGATCCTCAGCACTGTTGAAGGTAGCGAAACAGTTGGCACATCGTTGTCGCTGCTGCGCCGCTGCGACACAGGCCTGTCCAGGAGGTGGGCTCCTCTGAGAGGACTCGAACAGCGTCATCTCCTTCCTCCGCTTTGGCATGGTGATGTACTTCTCATCGAGGTACGCCGTGGGTGGCAGACGCATGTACGGCTTCTTACCGTACATGGCCAGCGTGTCCTTGCACACAGTCGATTTCACAACTCGATCCAACGCTTTTCCGTTCATGATAGAGTAACCAGAGCTGCTGATTGGACACGGTGGTGTTTCCGCTAAGGCTGCTCCCTCCTGGCCTACAGAGCTCTCCTCGACCTTGGCTTTGACCTCAGAGAGTGGTTTGACTTCTGTTTTAGAGGGTTTTGCTGATGGGGCATCATCACCTTTAGATTTTTTGAAACTCTTTGCATCACCTTCTTTATGAATACTCTTGTGCTTCTTACTGTCTTTGTTTGGGTCAGAGTTTTTCTTTAATTCTTTCATTTTTTGCGTGTTCTCTTCAGTGGCAGACGTCTTCTCATTTAAGCTGCTGGTATCTGCAGGTACGGAGGAACCAGAGCTGGAAAGAGTTGCATCTGAGGCTTCGTCCTTTACTGTGCCCTCCTCATTCTGATTGCTCTTGTCCAATGCTGCAACTGCTTTAGTCCCCTCCTCTTGTTGAACTACAGATTTTGATTTCTTTTTCACTGGGGTTTTGCTTGGGTCCTTGCATGGCTGTTTTTCCTTGACTGTCTTTTTGTCCGCTTTTTTAATAACATCCTTCTGCTTCTTTTTTACCTTGTCAGCGTCGGAAGAAGTCGTTTTAGCACTGCTCTCTTTAGGTCTCTCTTTTTTCGTGAACTGAGATTTCGATGATTTCTCCTCGTTTGTCACTCCAGATGTGGTGGAAGGTGAAGTTGCCTGATTTAAACTGTCCAATGCAACAGCAGGCACAGTATCTTTGTTTTCTGTTTTTGCTTTTCCATCCTCATCTACGACGACTGCTTTAGATTCAACTGTCTTTTTCAAAGCAGACTCTGTCTTTGTGTCGAATTTGCCTTTCTTAACCTTGCACTTCTTTGACTCATTGGAATTTGAAGCAGCACTTTGGCAACCACTTTCTAGAGAGGAGCGCCTTTTCGCTTTGTTGACTTTCTTCACTTTGTCAGTGGTCGACTTCCGTGTCTTGTCTACTGAGGATCTGCTGATTGATGGATTTAAACTATTGGATGTCACAGCAGATGTTTGGGGATCATGCAAGACCATTTGTTTAATGTGACACTTCTTAATCTGCTTGTTCACAGATTTCTTACACTTTGATTCATTGTCTGATGTTTTTGTAGTTTTGTTAACTTCATGTTCTTTTGTACCGTCGCCAACATCTGCTGCTGCTTTAGGACTTGGACTTGAAAGCTCAGCAGGAGCCTTCGGATCTTTTTGCAGAGCAGTTTTTTCTTTTACGGTTTCACTGTTTTGACCAGTAGAAGTGTTTTCATCATGCACAGATTTCTTTAATTTGGGAGGACGACCTCTTCTCTTCGGTACGTCTGTGTTTATTTTCACCTGGTGTTTCTTGAACTTGTGCCTCACTTTGTTGTTGCGTTTTAACGATGATGAGATGACTTTACGAGCTGCCATGGTCGTATTTGTTATTTGCACTTTTCTTAATGTTTGTCTTAATCTCAGATTTGGAACAGAAGGCTGTGCTGTAGTGTCTTTGTTGGACAAATTCTTTAAGACATTTGAATCCTCGGTTTCATTTCTCTCTTTAAATTCTCTGACCCTGGAGAAAGGAGGAGCTTTCATGTGTTTTCGTGATGACGACTTATGTGTAGCCCGTCTTCGTAATTTACAAGCCTTTAAACTCACAGTCTTATTCAGAGCACCTGCATCTTTTGGCTCATTATCCTGCTGTGTCCTCCCAACCGCTGTTTTATTATGTTTGTCGCTCGTTTGTTCACTAGTTATCTTGTCTGGTTTTGTGGGTTTGGAAGTGTAGTGCTCTCGTTCATGAAGGTTTAGTGCCCAGAGACAAATAAATAGTTGAGAACACCCAGGGAGGCAGCACACTGCCTGCAGCGGACTGTGCCTCCTGGTGTGGCGTCTCATTTCCATTCCTGATTTGAACCGGGCCGGACACCCCTGATGAAGGCAAGGATGGCGAGGAGAGACTCTGTGCCTTTCGACGTGATGCTGAAAGTGTTTGAAGCTCCACAAAACCCTCATGCAAATAGAGCATCTACTGTTTCCCACGCGGAATGCCAGTTCTAAAGGTTTGAGCTCACCGTAGTGGTCATCCAGAGCGTGGTACAGGAGCGCAACACGGTTTTTTGACAAATCTTTAAACCAAACACATCCATCCACAGGACAACAAACTTTCTCTTGTGGCTCCACATTTTTCTTTTTTGTGGTTGCCTTCAAGTACGACAGGGATCCAGTTTTTATCTTTTTATCTTTTTCTGACAACTCACGATTCTCAGATCCATTACTTGTTCTTTCCTGGGATTTCTCCTGCTGTGGCTTGGCTTCCAAATCCTTTCTCGCTCTGACAATCCCTTTCTTTTTGCCAACGTGTCCAAGTTCTTTCTTTTTTCCAACATGCCCATTGACTTTATGAACAGGAGTTTCACTTCGAAGGTGCTCTGAAGTGTTTTGTTTCTTTTCTTGTGAAAGTTTTTCATCTGCTGGCTTTTCTTTAGATCTCAACTTTCTGGATTCATGGGGCCTTGGATCTTGAAGACTTACTGATTCAGGAACAACAGCAGATTTCCTCGGTCTCCCCCTTCCACGACGAGCAGGCGACATGTTCGTGGCGTTGTCTTTGGCGGAGATTTTCAGTGTGGAAATACCTTTGGTCTCAGAGACCCTGTTTTCTTGGTCTTTGCTCTTTTTTAGCTTCTCTATGTGATCTGACAGGTGCATCATGGCTAAGAGGTCGTCTTTGAACATCGTCCTGCAGAACATGCACTCATCTTTTCGATAATGGAACATTGCATGTGCCACAACACGACTTCCCTTAAAGAACTTGTCACAGAAAGTACAGTTGAACTCCAACTTGGATTCCTCAGTTTCTGGCTCACTGTTCTCAGATGCATCTGAATCAATATCCTGAGTGTCTGTTGTCCCTTTCTTTAGTTGCACATCACTGACTGTGGAGGCTTCCTGTGCTGGTACAGAGCAGCTGGAGGTAGACCGGATTTTGTGAGGTACTTTAGTTTTACTTTTAGCTGTTGAATCCTTGTAGGCACTATTCTCTGGAGCTCGCTGTTTGTCATTCTCCAGATCTTGAGCAAGTGCCTCAGGTGCAAGTTCAGTAACCATCTCCGTTACTAACGTCAGAGCAGATATGTCATTCATAGCGTCCTGGTCTGGAGGCGAATAAGTAGCCAGAGGCTCTGATGCTTTACTAAGAGGGACCATGTTTCCTCTGGGGATTGCGTCCCTCTCACAAGGTGTGTGTAAGTCCGCCTCAGTGATTCTGTTGCAGACTGTGTTTAGCACCTCTGGGGTGTCTGCTTCTGCTTTGGCAGCAGGAATTCTTTCAGCCAGCGAGGAGGGTGACTTGAGGTCTTTTTCACCATCTCTGAGAACAACATCTTGGGTCCGAGAGGGCAAAGGATCTGCATCGGCAGTGTTTGAATTATTGGCTATATCGGGGAAGGGGGGGGTTTCATTGTTAACTATACTCTGAGTGTTGTCTGCAGATGTCGTCTGTGAACCCTCGGCCGAAGCAGTGATTTTTGAGAGGTCTTCTACACTTTGTGGTTTACATATACCTAAACCTGGGGACTGTGGCACTTTGGCTGCTGAGGAGGTTTGTGAGGCAATGGTGACTTTCATTTCAACAGCAGGTTCTTCACAGAGCTCTCTTGCTGAAGTTGTCTGAGCTTGCATGATCTTATCCAACACTGGGTTTCCTGTTCCTTCAGCTTCTTCTGATGTCTGTGACGCAGTGGTGGCTTTCATTTCAACCGCAGATTTATCTCTTGCTGAAGTAACACCGCGTAACACTTTCCCTCTGCTTGCAGGTTGAGTGACCTTGTCTGACCCTGGAGATTTAGTCACTTTTGCCCCTGCTGGTGTCTGTGGGGCATCAGCAGACTCTCTTGCTGCAGACGTCTTTTGTGAAACTGGATGGACTTTTTCTAAAACTGGGGGTGAATTAACTTCAGATAGTGTCCGAGAGGCACCTTTCCCCTCAGGCTTTTTGCAGTGCTCTCTTGGTGCATCTTTAGGAGGACTTCCCTGCACAGAAGAACGTGTGATAGTTGATACTGAGCCATGAACATTCAATCCATGTCCTTTTCCTTTCTGGCGCCGAGCGTAACAGTGCAGTTGTTTTACAAACATGGCGGCATCCCGCGCTCTTAGAACAACTTCCTTGCGATGGACAGTCTTCACGGGTTGTGATGTGGCAGAAGGCTTCACTGTGGGTTTGTAAAGAAGCACTTGGGGAAATCCTCTCTGTCTGTTGCAAGAGTCCTCAGTAAACGTACCCAGCAGCTCATTGTCTGGTAAGGAGAGCTCAAGAATGACTTGTGGAGGCGGCGCTGGTTTAACATAATCCAAAGAAAATTCTCTCTGGTGCTTGCTGATGTCCTTTGTGCTTAAATGCGAGTTTACTGGTGGTTTGTGTTTTGCATTGTTCTTGATCTGACCGGTTTCAGGCCTCTTCATGACCGAAGATCGATGATGCTGCTGATGTCTCAACTCGTGCTTTTTGATATTGGGAGGAACGTTGTTCTTTTGAAGAGTATTTGAGTCTTCCAGAAGCCACCTGGGTTTTCTAATACTTCGTTTTGGAGGGTTCTTCTCTGAGAGTCGCGTGATGCGTCTGTGTTCTCCATACCTAATGGTGACGTTGTCTTGTATTCTGTCCAGCCGCCAAAATGAACGTCTCAAAGGTTCAGATGATTTGTTCTTCAAAGGTCTTAACCCATGGGTACCTTTCTTCTTTACAGCATGATCATCATTCAGTTGTGTTTTGTCTGGGCCCACCTTTAGTCTTTTGGATGCCGTGTCCGTATCGTTTCTCTGGTGCCGCTTCTTTGATGCTGCCTGAAGTGCCCCTTTCTTTCCTCTCCGACATGAACTTGACCGTGAAGCAGGCTCTTTGGTGGAATAGTTAGAGATCCATTTGTCCTCCATGATTTCTTCAAGGGCAGCACTAACCACTTTCTCGCTCATCAACTTCAAACAATTGGTCCGCAAAGCAATGAGGTTCCAAAACTCTGGGTCGAAGTAGAGGTCTTTCTTCAAGACCTGAGGAGATAAGGAACATTTCTTTTGGTACTCCAATATGGAAAGATTACAACAACAACAAAGCACAGCTAATCTGAATTGACCTGGTATGAATATCAGTCCTGAGAGATTTTACACCTGTATTTAGAGCTGACCTCCTGCGATCGGATCACTCAGGACAGATGTTAACACCAGGCCTGAACGTGGTCTGAGAGTCTCAAACTGTGCTTTTTCGATGACATGATTGGCCAAAAAAGAAACTCTACCTGCAGCATTTCAAAGCGAACATTATTCCTGATGGGGCTGTACTCCACGTGGTACTCCTGATCGGGATGCATGTAAAGAAGGTACACCCTCTTGTAGGCCTCAACTGTGCGTTCCTGGAAGAAAACAAGGAGAGCACACGCCCGGCAAACCTCCAGGTCGTTGGGAAGCAGGCCAGCAATGGTTTTGTAGATTAGGGACTTGGTGACGACATCACAGGGAAGGCAAGACTCCAGGGCATTAGTACAAAGCTCCACGCAGAACTGCCTACCATCTTCACCCAGCTAGAAAAAATTACCAACACAGGATTAAACACTAATAAATCTACTCAATTAAGACTCAATCACTACAATTCAAATATATTTCACCTCTTGCAGTATGGCTCTGATGAATGGAAAGATTGAGTTGACATTGGTGGCACACAGCATCAGCTGGTGGCTCTCCGCCCATAGAGCTTGCTTGGATGTATTTAACCGACTGTGAAGTTTACTCCATATGAAGACAAGATCACTGCAGATGAAAAGAGTTAAGATATTTGTATAAATGAAAACCCTTTAAAGCTGATGTTATACACAACCTTCAATTTACATTAGCGTCCACTTACCACAAATAGTACATGTCTCCCCTGCGGAGCTGCTGGGAGAGGAAGGCTCTGCTGAGGCCAAGTAACAAGTCATCCTGTTCCTCACACTCCAAACTACAGATGATGTGAACAGCATCTTTGCTATTAACATCATCCACCTGAAATCAGGGGACAATGGAAGTATCATTGTAACGACTGCTCTGTGTGGTACTTAAGCTAAATTCAGACAGAATCTTCAGTAAACAACAGTTACTCAACCCACCTCTTTATGTAGGCGGTCGTGCTTTGACGTTTTGTAGAGCCACGTGAGGTAGACCTGGAGAAAGAACAAGTGTCGTCCTGCCATAGGATGCCGAGCACAACACCTAGCCAAGGCCATGGCCTCACTGACCCGCTCACAGGACAAAAGGTAGCGCACCCGGAGCTCAAAGAACACCGGCAGCTCAGCGGTGATGCACCCATCCACTAAGGAGAGGTCAAGCCAGAAAAGAGAGATTTATGATGCAAACATTTGGGTTAACCCTAACCCTTACAATGAACAACCAGAGAGAAAATGTTCTTAGAAAATAAAAACTCTCCCTGTGCGACGTACGAAACTAGGGTCAATTATATGGAATGTGCAAAGACAGTTGTTAAAAATGTTGCCTACCGTCATTCTGAGGTAAACTGGACTCACTGAGGATCCCCTGTAAGACTGAGTTGGACCAAGGCCCGTGGCCCTGAACCAAACGCTCCACCTGAAGTAAGTGAACATTCTGATATCTCGCAAGGACCGAATGACATTCCTGGAAGGATGAGGGAGGAAAAAGCAATGATTATTAGAGATGTAACAGTGTTTTCATGCAGCGATACTGCCCCCACCAGTTGATCTGTTCTGAGAAGTAAAGCACACTGAGAAACTATAAAATAATTGTCTGTTCCTTCTTACCTGGAATGTGACAGTGAAATGTTTCAGTGGCTCCTGGTGGAAATCCTTCTGGTCAAAGAACAGCAGCAACTCAAAAACACTCCTGTCAGGGGATGAAAGGCATTAGCTTCTACCAACAAAGTCCTATTACTGATCTGTTCAGTTGTTTATATGGATCCAAACACTTTATTGGGATAAAGAGTTAATTAGGAAACTGAGGGGAGACCCTGGGGGACAGAGGACAGAGAGTTAATGGATGGAGTTGGGTCTCCAGCTGGCAGAACTCCAGAGGCTTTCCTGGCTCACAAATGTGCTTGTGTGAGCCAGCGAACACAATCAACCTTCGGTTCCATAAACGTTGCAGCCAGCAGCCCAGAAAATCACCAAAATGAGTTGGTGAACAAATACATAAAGGAATGGTTTTATTTAGCATGTGTGAATAATCAAATTTGTTCTGCATGTATTTGGTTTGAAACTACAAATGCCACCACTGGCAAGTGTTATATATATATTCTGTGTATATATTAGTGGTGTAAAACTGGAAAAAAGCAGGAATCAAAACATGTACAGAGTTAAATCACTGTGTTGATCTATCTGGTTGATCTGTGACTACATTTCAGGCAAGAAATGTTGACAAGAGACAAGTGGTTATTTGTTGACTTTTATTATTTTTAGTGATAAGTCACCACCGTAAACTTGTGGTAAAACGTGCAGGGGTATTTCACATTGATTTAACTATCTTCTATACCAAGAAAGCCAGCTCTTTCAGGAGGTGTGTGTACTCACAATGCCAGGCTACTGAGTGTGTGGAGCACATGATCACAGTTTGACGCGAAGAAGGTAGAGGATCTGGAAAAGTAGCGGAGAGCTATCTCTAAGATCCTGAGCTGAGGCAGTGGCACCTGCCAGCGAGAGGCAAACTCCTCCACCAGCTGCAGGGAGAAAAGGCAAATCAGACACGTAAAAACAAAATGACAAGGACAATTTCCAGTTTGTATCCGTCTGCAGGGGTTTTAGGTGTTTTGACTGTAGTTGTAGGTACTTTGGTGTTTCAACAGGTTCAATTTGTGCAGTGTTGCCAATAAAAAGCATTTTTAATTTCCAACCTTTCTATGTTGCAAATGTAATATAGTTTGGTGACTGTTGGTCAGACCAAGATTTGACACACAAATCAACAACAAATAATCATTAGATTAACTGTTAGTTGCAGCCCTTCAACCAATAACTTTAAATATAAATTATTATTATTATTATTATTAAAAACCAAGAGGAAACAGACAGCTGTGTAAGTCACTGATTACCATGAGAATCATCAGTAAGGCCTGGTCATATTTTTAATTATATTTTCCCATCCCCATGACAGCATGTAATTACAGTGCACAATATTAACCTATGTAAGGCAGGGGCCTGTCTGCAATACAATACAATTTGCTTGTATTGCTCTCCAACGATGGACACCCAAGACATTGCTCTTGTGCACCATTGTGACTGTTAATCCTCGGGCCTCTACACACAGTTCCTTGTAAATTAAACAACAGGAAGTTGCAAAGCATCAGTTTATGTTTGGCAGTTTATCAGATTTAAAACAAGGATTAACCAAACCAGTTGTGCCTCATGTGTCCCCAAACTGTGCTTGTATGTTGAGTAAAGCACTGACTTTAATGTCTGTGTCCCAATAGAGAAATAAGAATAAATATTGTGGTTTCACCATTTCCATGTGCAACAAGGGGATAACCTTATCTGTGACTCTCTTCTGTTTGGATCCTCAAACGTTATTGTAATTTGAAAAATTAGAAGACAATTAGAGACATAAGAAACAGTGTGCTTTATTTCTGCAAGAATGCATCTACAGGCACATGTCTTGTTGCTGTTGGGGGGGTTAACATTGTTCATTAAGAAACATTTCTAAGTTGTGCTATACAGGAACTACCACCAGTCAATCTCTGTTTAAACACAGCTGTGGTTCATGAATTCCATTTGCTTAGTGTCCAAAGAGACTGATTCTCATCCTCCAAAGTTATTGTCTCATGAAAACTTCAGTGTGTGAGGACATGTTGTGATACCAGAAATGTTGTTATCCATTTCTGCAAGCATGCATCTACAAGTCCATGTGTTTTTGTTGTTAGGGAGGGCCAGATAAGACTTCAAAAACATTTCGAAGTTGGAATTTTTCGAAGTCAGCTTGTCTGAGTCAAAACACACGAATTGTGCTTCTTGAATTGTCCCTGATCAGTGCCAATATATCGAGTTAACCACTGAATTTAACGCCACTGGCCCTGTAATTAAATAAAAACCAACATCTTGGCAGTGACAGTAGTTTAACTGACCATCTCCACTGTCCGTCAGGAGTTTGTAACCTCATCTGGGGATGCACCTACAGGTCCATGTCTTGTTGCTGTTGGGGTCATTACGAAACATGTCGATAACGAACGCTAACAATCGCAGGACCAACCTGTGGTTAGAGAGGAGAAGCTAACATGCTACCAGCCACACAGCCGGTGATTACATCAACTGTTTGGGCTGCAGAGAGTTGTCCAGTCCGTGGCTCAGGCTAACTAAATCCTGGGCTAGCTGGCCAGCTGGCGAGTAGCCGAGTTAGCTTGCTGTGCAGAGAACAATAATTAGCACAATATTACTCATCCACAGACTCCGTGTTGTCGCTAACACCAGCAGAAGACGAGCCCACGTCGTTGGACGTGTTATTTACAAGGCGTTACGCTGATTTGTGGGTGTTTTGGTCGACTGCGAGACCTTAGCTCCGAGCTTACGAGGCTGGGAGCTAATGCTAGCCGCGGAGCGAGCATTTCTGGGGGAGGGGAGTCGGCCAGCATACCCGCTCCGTCTCTTCGACAACGGGCCCGGACACCAGCTCCCGTCGCGGCTCCTTACCTCGCAGAAGTCGGCGCAGAAGGCTCCGCTGTCGGCCCGCAGCTCCTCGCTCGAGTAGCGGCCGGACAGAGCGTGCAGCCGCGTCCCCAGCTCCTCCGGTTCGTTCGCACCGCACTCCTCCGCCATACTGCCCGTGTGGCCCCGCTCGTCGCCGCGGCCACACAACACATACGTCCCCGATGACAGCGCTGATTGGACGAGGCCACTGCGAGGCGCCCCGCTCCTTCAGCTCACCGGGTTACACCGACGAGGAGCTGACCGGGGGGCGGAGACCGAAGGACAGGGTTGATCTGACGGTTCCCCGCTCGCACGGTGCTGCCAGAGCCGTAAAACATGCGCCACCACCCACATGGCTCACACAAACACAGTGACTGTCAATATTTGCGTTCACGTACCTTGGTGCAAATTGGAAAAAGTGATTAATGCAACCAATTAGTCATTTTGTCGTAAAAAAAACAAGTAGTTAAGATTTGATTAACTCAAATATAATGTAGCTAACTCCACTATGTATTATTTAACATTGATTGTTTTCCATATCATTGAATAATTGTAGTTTTTTGATTTTTTTCAATGGGTGTGTTTAGGTAAACTCTGTAATTTAGTGCAAATTTGTCAGTGTTTTATTTTTTGCGTTGTGTTTTATTTTGTGCTGTGTTATGTGACTTGTTTTTCTTTAGCTCTAATTGTGATTTGTCAGTATAGGTTTCACCAATAAAATTTGTTGTTGTGATTTGCACTTCAGGGCCACTGTACTAAATTTATTAAAGTCATTATTTATTTTTAACCACTTGAAATAAAGTTTTGTTTGCCATGAGCAGATCAAACAAACTGTATCTTATGTTTAACTTTTCATACAGTTTCATTACAAGGATATTTAAAAGCCTGAGTTATAAAACAAAGACAGAAATGTGAGGAACAGAAATAGATAGTTTGTATATTGCTTACCCGTCTGCTCTTTTTGTGACGAAAAGAAAGACACATTTGTCGGTAAATATGTCCCTTAACATTTTCACTTATTTCTACATATATTTAGCAGTCTTGCTGATTTCCTTGCCCTTCAGTACTGAGGATATCAGGAATGATGTTAATACTGTTCTTTTTCCAATTACTGTGACAACCGTTCAGAGACTTTCTTTAAATTTTATTGTATCATACACATTCATGAGGGAAACCTGATGCAATACAAAGTGGTTATCCTAGACACAGCTAAGATTCAACAGTCACTTTAAAGTAACATCGCAGGCACTGAGTTGAAAACGGAGCGGGGAACACCACTGCATGGCCGTTGAAAGAAATGCGATTATGCCCCAAATGTATTCCATCCTGTGTACACATACTCAAATGAAAAAGCAGCACATAGTGAGCAACACTGGAAATCATAAGTTTATATATACAGCAACTGTTTAGTTGTCTAAACTTGATATATGAGATGAAGGTCTTCTATTATTTCTAATGTTTGATTGGTACACAAGGCCGTAAAGAAACAGTCACGTACTTCAACAAATAGACGAATAAGGAGGCCTCTTTTCAAGGCTACAAAAGAAAAAGCAAGTTTCTGAACTTACAAAATATTGCTTTGAGCACTACTAGCATCTATAATAAGTAGTGCCCCAAATAGGAAATATCATAAAACGACCAAGTGGCACAACATAATTTGCTTATTATATTGTAAGACTTAAATTTAAACATAAAAAAAAATAATTTTCTAAAAAATGGAAAGAAATTAGCTAACCTCAATCAATAGCTCAGCTTAAAATGATTTCATCATCCCTCAGACACTAAAGGCTACTAAACGTGGTGCAATGTTTGTTGTGTATGTTTCAGCTTGTCAATCACAGCTCGACTCTGACATGGATCGCTCCCTCCTTTCCCGCCCTGTGACAAAGTTGAGCAGGTCAACAGCCGTCACCACCCCAAACACCATCTGCTTCAGGCTGGGAGAGCCGTCTGTCAAGTCTGGTGGACGGACAGAAGGAAAGGGAGAACTGTGTTGACCTTTAATTATTGACAATTATTATTTTCCTGTAACATTCTATAATTCAAGTGAACAGTGTTTGATTGTATGTGAGCCTATTGCATGTCGACAATTTATTTAAAAAATAAAAAGCAGTGTTAGTATACTTTTTGGCCACTTGAGGGCAGCAGAATACACTTTAAACAACTGACATATTTTCACCTCTTGTTGATAAGAGGAACTTTTGCCTATTTTCACATCGAGCAACTATGAAGCAACATTAGCATCTATTTAGCATACTTTTAGCTCCATGTTTTCACACACACGCACACACACACACACACACAAAGCTGAATTGTGACTATGACACAGCAGAGTTGACCAAAATCAGTTTATCTCTGGGTTTCTTGTCATCCGGCCGGACTTTGCTCCTCATATATCAGAGGAACAATCAGTGACATGCTGATTCAAACAGTATTGGTTAAAAACGTGGTTGTGATGGCGTGCTGCATTCAAGAGCGGTCAATAATGAGTCCTTGAGACAGACATTGACCCTGCACATGCTCATTCAGTCTAAACTGCTGAAGATAACAACACTCAACAAGTGATTTGAGATAAATGTGAATAAATTAAAATCTATTAATTAAAGACAGGACTGATTTATGAAATAACTGTTTCAAATTATTCCATCGATCAAAATGATCTCTTTAGATTCATTTTAACATCTTACCACAGGGCTTTGGCAAACAAGAACACGTACATCAAGGGTGTGTGTGTGTGTGTGTGTTTGCATGCATGTTTGTGAAAATGTTTCTCTACTCACATTGGATCTGTTCATGTACAACCAGGGCAAAGTGGTCTGTCTCCAGAATCCGGGACACCTTTCCCAAGTTATCGGTCAGACGGATCTGTGGACGCAAAAAAAGCTTTTTAGCAGAAAGTAAACATGGGTATTTTCTCAGACTTTTTAGAGCTGAGAAATAGTTTTCATTCAGCATCAGGTAGACTCACTAATGAGGGATTTATTCAAATTCCTGTAAAGCAGAGTTCACATGATTTTTAGCCGGATTTTCCGCTGTCCAATTTTGTAGCTCGTCAACAAAAAGAATCAGCGTTTGATCAGCAGTCACCAATTGCTTTGTGGGAATCCAATCAGGATTAAGAATGAACAAATGAAAACTGTTCAACCAGAGATGTTTGATGTGTTGTCTGACCTGTTTGAACTGCTTGTAGAGTACTTTGCTGACTGGGTCTGACACCTTGATCTTCCCTGCCAGAATCAAGGCCAACATGTTCCCCAAAGTCACCATACCTAGAATTAACCTGCACAAAGACACGCACAGAGGTTGAAGTTAAACCTCTGCTGTGCAGGCAAGGAGCCGAGTGGTTGTGCGATACAACACAAAGGAAGAAAAAGGCTTCAGATATGAAGTATTTCAGCTCGACAGTTCGCCCTCACCCAGCCTCATCCACGACGGGAGCCTGGTCGAATCCCTTGTCCTTGAGGATTTTGATTGTCTTCTGGCAGCTGACGGTCGGCAGCACAGTGAGGGGGGCCGACAGGTTCAAACCCTGCAGCTTCAAGTTCCACCACCTGATGCACGGAGAGAAACCAGGGTTCAGGTTTCACACAACCACACAAGAGTAGGAAAATACCCTTAAATTACACACACCATGGCTTCTTCACCATGAGGTCCTCCTCCCGCAGGAAACCCTTATCTACCATCCACTTATCACTCAAGAATTTGGACCTGGAGGGTGGGAAATAAAGAGCCGTGTTAATATTTACACAAGGAACAAAACCAGAATACTAGCAAAGCATCTGATTTCGAGACACAGAGGTTTCTAGTTATTGCGGAGGTGGGACTCACATATAGTTGCGGATGGAGTCGGGCAGGATGACCACGCAGCGCTGCCCCTCCTTTAAATCCTTGGCGACGTTAACCGCAGCTGCCATGGCCGTTCCAGAGCTGCCTCCTGTCAAAGAAAAGAGCAGACACGTGAGATGGATTCAAACTCGTCCAGTTAGAGATTCCGACTTTGCAGCTTCACACAGATGCGGGCACAGACACGATGACTCACCGCACAGCAGACCCTCATCTCTGATCAGCATACGGGACATGTTGAAGGACTCCTCGTCATTGGACTTGTACCAGGTATCAATCACCTGGGAATAAAACAGTAAAAGATTGAAATAAGCGGTTGTGAATCAGATAAACTTAAGAAAAAAGAAAAGAAGTAAACTGGAACTCACTGATCTGTCGAGCACAGTGGGGATGAAGTCGTACCCGATGCCCTCGACCTCATACTGGGTTTTATCGGTCTTGTTAATCTCATCAGGCTCAGCCAGGATGGAGCCTTCTGGGTCGACACCAACAATCTGCACAAACCATATAAAAATAATGAGATGCTCAGCAGAGAGTAATTCCACCTCCTTTCAGCCGTGGAGAATAAAATAATTATGACAGACGACTCACCTTGACGTTGGGGCATCTCTCCTTCAGTTTGCGGGCAATACCTGTGATCGTCCCCCCTGTGCCTGCTCCTGCCACCAGCATGTCCACTTTACCTGTTGGGAGGGGACGAGTCGAGATTTGAAGTTAAGACAAAAAGGGAAATCTAGTTTGAAAGTTGTGAGCTGTGTCAAAGGAACCGATTTATATTTTATATTAGATTTTAATTGCTTTTGGGTACAAGGGCTTTCATACCTCCACACTGCTCCAAGATCTCTTCGGCGGTGGTGTCGTAGTGAGCCAGTGGATTGCTCGGGTTACGGTACTGGTCCAGAATGTGGGAGTCGGGGATCTCGTTTTTGAGGCGCCAGGCAACGCCCACATGAGACTCTGGCGAATCGAAGCGAGCGCTGGTGGGAGTGCGGACGATCTCGGCCCCGAGAGCTCTCAACACGTCCACCTGGCCAGAAACAAAGGAAATAAATAAAGGGCAATTATGATGCTGAGATTCTTCCTGACGAGCATCAAAACATGGGCAGACTGAAGTGAACAATTCAAACAGGGATGATTATATGTATCTCATGTACTGCACATGACCTCTGTGCAGGTATGTATGAATGTAAGCTCCATATGAAAGCAGATGTGCAACATGTGTAATTTAAGGATTATAAACCATGACATAACCAACATTAAAAATCCCATTAGATTTAAAAGGTCTTCGTTACTGAAACTGACTCTGCAAAGTGATTCTATTAATAGATTGTCCTCTAGAGTTTTGCATAAGTGTTATCTTTTAATGGAGCTCAATTCTTTGTCTTTGACAACCAGCAATGCCTAAAACAGGCTGGGTTAAAAAAAACAAGAGGTCAAGCAGTAAAAGGAAACATGTGAACATCTCCTGCATCGAGTTTCAGTGGTGTCACCTGCTGTTTTCAATAAGCCAAGAAAACATTTTGAGAAAAAGTGATCAAAATCAGCTTTTGTCTTAATCATTTCAGTAGATTTCATTTTCAAATAATGGGTTGAAAAATAATTTTCGCAATGAATCAGTAAAAAAAAAAAAGAAAACTGAACTCAAAAACAACACAAGTTGACTGAAAAGCTGCCCCCCCCCATTAATTTATAGGACATGAACACACCATGAGATGTCATGATGCCGTAGGGACTTTGTTTACTATGAAACACACACTGACCTTCTCCATGCTCATTTTCTCTGGCATGACAATAATGCAGCGGTAACCTTTCACTGCTGCAGCCAGGGCCAATCCAATACCTATACAAACACACACACACACAAACACACACACACACACACACAGACACGTCTTACAACACTGCTGGTTAAATGACCAGTTAATGATGAGTCACGGCCCAAGAAAGAACCCATTTAATTTTTGTTTTGAGGATCCAAACAGGAGCAGATCGGTTGTTTTTTAACATTCAGAGACAGGACGTTCTCAGAGGATAATTATCTTGATTAAAACCGGCATAATGAGGGGTTTCATAAGGGGTTTGGCTTTAATTTGCCTTTCATCCACTTATTCTTCTACTATGGAAATCATGATCTGCATCGTCTAGCTTGTTTGGCTACAAGGTTTGATTGAATTGAAGGGGACTGGCGGAGGCACACGCTCCACTGAGAATCTCTCTACTCACCGGTGTTTCCAGAGGTTGGCTCTATAATAGTGTCTCCAGGCTTGAGGAGCCCGGCTCTCTCAGCGTCCTCCACCATCCGCAGGCTGATCCTGTCCTTCACGCTGCCACCGGCATTAAAGTACTCACACTTGGCCACTGAAGAAAAACACACAACAGAACAGAGAGATTTGTTGCAGGTTTATGATTAAATGGTGCAGGATGGAATCAATTCTGAGCTGAACCACATGACACCATGCCTTTAGCCTCTCTCAACAGTTGTGTGTTTGCATTGTGTCAATGAATCAAACGTATCAGTCACACCTTTGGTTTTATCTGAGAGTGTGTCATGTGAGGCTTGAGTGATGGGTGACTCACGTATTTCACATTTCAGTCCAAACAGTTTGGGGATTTTGTTGATGCGTACCAAGGGAGTGTCGCCGATCCTGTGTAGGATGTTTGGGAGAATGGTTGGGGCGACATTTCTGGGAGGATGAAGCAGGAGGAAAGAGAAATTAAGTCAGATAAAGCATGTGTTTGTGTGCATATCCACCGCAAAGGTGTAATTGTGTGGTTGTGACACTTGCGTGCGTCACTTCTCAGTTATTTGTTTGAATTGGTTTTCACTGGCTTTAACAACAAAGCTTCAGTCCTCACGCAGTGTGCATTGGATTGAAAATTGTTGTTTCTTTTGAAAGTCATCACCACACTGACCTTGGAACTTGCGTGTGAGGAGATTCGGCTCCCGAGGCTCCCAGGGTCCATTTGCAGCGGCTGGGAAGGTCGGGCCGGATCCACTTCCTCTCGGGTGAGGCGTTCTTTGTGCTGATCTGAATGGTTTTGTGCGACTCCTCTGTGTCCACACCCAAGGGTTTCTTGTCCACCCCGTTCAGCGGGAACGAGCCCTCCCGCAGTTTGGCATCTCCATTACTGTGGTTGTGCAGCTTGGTAGCGTGAGGGCACACTGGGCCTTTGACGGCAGTCTCGTTGGTGGAAGGAACTGACGGCATGGCTTATCCTGGGAAAACAGGGAAATATGTTATTATCGTTGACATTTGAGTTTAAGGTTTCACTCCCGTTTGTAGGCAGGATTACACAAAAACTACTGAATGGTTTTCCACAAGACTTGTTGGAGGGATGGCACAAGGGCCAAGAAAGAACTCATTAAATTCCAGAGGTGTTTTTTGCATCATAAGTGGATCTTGATGAAAAAAAAGAGGAGTACTGTGTTCTACCTGGTTTTTGAAAATAGAAAAAATAGTGACATAGCACAGTTTGTCCACAGTTAGTGAAGGTTTACAACTGAAAATGAATTCAATAATAAAGAAGGGTTTGAGCCCATATTGGTGTAGAAGAATTGGTTCAGGTGAGTTTTATTCACTGTGGAGGAGATCTCAACATTAAACATTAGATCTGAGAGACAAAAAAGATGAAACAACCCAGGAAACACAGGACAGGCTTAATTTACAAAATAATCGGACTAATTCCGCCAATTCCGACGATACTTTGTCTTTGACTTCCAGACATTTGTCTGCACTTAATGTAACGAGTTGTCAACCAGCACAGAGAGAAACTCGACTATAACTCTTATACCACAACCTCTTCTTAAAGACGAGCGTATTACGTAACATCAGAAGCCAGTAAAACAGAAACACTGCACCACCCTTCCTTCTTTTAGTGCAGAGTCATGTTAGTACCAACAAATCATTCTTTACCAGGAGATTTGGCAGAACACTGTTGTTTTCTGACAAGGTTTCAATCCCGCACAGAATCGATAACATCAGTCATCTAAGAAAAAATGTACAGTCCACTGCAGCCGTGCACGTCCATCTCAGATTATCTGTGTTTGTGAATGTAAAGCTTAAACTGACTCAGTCACTGGTTGTGACCAGCAATAAAATGTTGTAAAACTCACACATATAGAGCTAAATGTTAAACATTATCCTAAAGTGGAGGTCAGTGGTGCTGCCTGGTGATAAATATTACTAATCAGTCGTCCAGTGAGGGGCTGGGAAATGGATAATTATTTAAAAGTTTGTCAACTGATTGGAAATAAACTGGCTAATGTTTTTATAGTTGAATTCATAGTTTTTAACTGATTATAATCATTTATGGAGAAACAAATGCCAGAAATCTTCCAGGTTTTCGCTGCTCGAATGTGAGAAGTTGCTGTTTTGTTTGTCAAATCTACAAAGCTGTCAAATCTTCAATTAATTTATCCATTAACTGACAAAATCATGTGACAATTAATCACAGATGACAGATATCATTAGTTTTAGCTTTAAATTCACGGATCAGTTTAATAGATCAAAACAACGAAAACCAAAGAAAAACAAGATTTCTTTGCATCTGTTTATGCATCATCATCTCTGTTTAACTTGATAAGATGTGCATTAGGTTTCTCGATGGTCCCATGAAGCGTTAATAACCCACAGTGTACACTGGGGCCAGCTGTTAAACTGCGGGCCCCTTTTTATGGCTCCGCCGTTTGTTCAGACTTGTTCTCAAAGATAAGTCAACATCAGTCATCTGCTGGTGACTCCTGTGGACTAGCACCACATGTTCAGACACGTCCACACAGTAAAACAAACAGAACACCAGTGCTAGTCTGCAACTTCTGCAACAATGACTCTTCCTCAGAATGCATCACTGCAAACAGATGTTGTATACCAGTATCAGAAATGCTGGCTTTCAGAAAGATTGCAAATCTATGTATCAACATCTTTAAAGTATATTTGTGTCACCCTGTTTAAACTGGAATTTTCTTTTCCCAGAAATCACTTCTTCTTCATAATGGTTTTAAGTTGGCGATGAAGACGTCCCCCAAGTAATATGGCTTCTTGTACCATAGGACTTCAGCTTCCACTAGTGTTGCCACTCACAGGAGCTCGAGGTCACCACGGCAAAGGAAGACTTTGAAAACCACATTCAAATGACACGATAAAGGAAAGAGCAGTTTGGTGTGGTATCAGGTATCTTGTTTATCTTGTATGAGTTGAGTGTTTTCGGTGTTAAAGCTGCAACCTCCATCACCATCTGCTCTCAATCTTCGGCATTAACCCTCCTTTCCTGCCCACGTTAAATTCTTGGTGTCAGATCTCCGAGGGCAGGGCCAGTCGTGCTGCTAATTCAGGTTATACTGGCTCGGCCGTGCTCAGTTGGAGAGTGTTGGTGATATGCGGTGACCCCTCGGGGTTCAAGTGGGTTACATGATCCTCTGCCAATGCACATGCGGCACCAAGCCCAGGCAGTAAAAAAGACTCATGGGAAGGAGAAACTTCAATTTCTCTAATTCTCCTCACTTGAGCCCAGAATCCTCAAATACCTACCAGGCCAATAAGTCAGAAAAAAAATCACCTGATCCGAGCCTGGCAAGATTAAATCCAAACTAATGAAAAACCCCTTGTAATATTCTTACCATATCAGACTTGGTTATCTGCTTAAACTCTGGCATTTCTAATCTCCTGTGGTATGTTCACAGCTCCCCCTTTTCTCAGACTTTTCCCCGTGTCAGATTTTTCCAATAAGTGGCACAGGGGTTGCTCTATCAGCTGCTCACCATAACACGGGAGGCACAGCAGCACAAGAAGAGCATGGCTATAGATATCCACTCAGCCATAACAAATGGTGGGGCCAAATGTGAGCAGCAGGAATGCATGGCCCTGGAGACCCTGACATCAAACACCTGAAAGTCACACACCACATGGTCACATTATGATGACCTCTGAACTCCCATGCTAAAGTGTGAGGAGATGAGAGATAATAGATACAACAGTGTGGCTCAATAATCATCTGATTGATTAGATGGTCAAAGGCATCGCTGATGGCGATCATTCAATTTTTATGTTTTATTAATATTCTAAATGAGTTCTATTGTGATCAGCTCCTCAACTCTGAGTTTAAACTGTAAAAGATAAGCAAGTAAATGTGGTTGGGGTATCAACCTGGTCACAAAGGGGTTTCTGGGTAATAATAATGGCCAATCGATAAATGGTAAATAGATCGATAGTAGCAGCCCTACAGTAAATGATCGATTATCTGCCTGGTCAATAGAAGTGTAACAGAACAAACACGTGACAGAATGAAAGGAGATCGATAAAAGGATGAAAATGGAGAAACACACACGATCCGGCTCCGATTTAATGGAGGAGAATAAAGAGAAACACACACGTGACTGGAGGAATTCACAGAAAACAATCGCACGGGATTTAAAGGTATTGATTTTCGTCATCGGCGGAACAACACGCAACATCGCATCATCAATGCTGTGCGGTTGCAGTGTTGCATCAGAAAACGCATCTGCGGAACCGCGGTCACGCACCAAACGTCATAAACAAAACTCCGTGTGGATGCGTGAAATTCTCCCTTTTAGTTTAAATCCCACTCACCTGGTGACTTGTCCAAAAAGCCTTGGATTCAAAGACGAAAATATACAGGGGGGAAAGCGCGTGGCTCCTGGTGAGACGGTCCCGCAGGAGTGAACAGCGTCCGCGCGAGGGCTGCGGATTCTTTCGTGACGACATACGTGGGAGGACGTGGGTAAAGATTCACGGCGGCCTCCCATTGGCTGCGGTGAGGGCGTCTGTTTGGTGCGCTCGGCCAATCACAGCGCAGGGGTTCCAATCCAAAAGGGCGTCTGGGAAAAAGCGCACGCACGACACATGTTTACTTTTTATTGACCAAACACTCTCCGCACGGAAACACGTGACCACTTGTTTACCTCTATGTTGTTCACACGTGTCAATAAAAAACAGGATTTTGTTCAGAAATTATTTTGAGTTCATTTTAAATCTTAGTTTCTTCTATTGGCCTTTGCCCAAAAATGTAGAGATACGTCATTTCCTGTGTTTAGACAGGTGTTTCTACACCTTCAAGAATAATCGATAACCTTCCCTGTTATCGATCAGTTTGATTGGCTGGAAATTTGTTCGGTACGATGTCAAGTCAGCATGACCATGTTTGGACCCTGTGTAGAAATGTACCTCTAACGTTTCTTATGACCTCCACCAAGGTTATGTTTTTGTCTGTCTATTTGTTAACTGGATAATGCAACATCTACTAAAGCCAGAAACTTTCTTTTACATTGTGTTACAGAGTGTTTATTGATTTCTCTGAAAATAATTCATGGATCGTGATGGAGAAAATCAGACATGTTGAGGGAACTGATATTTTTCAGTGTCCAGATCTAGAGAATTTAAAGGGGCATTTAAAAGTCATAAATTAAAGTTTTATTTGATCAAATTTCCTGTTACTTGATGTAATTACTCTTTCCCCACTGGTTTCAACATGTGTATTTGTAAGAATAGCTCTCACCAACCAATTGTAAACATCACTACATAAGAAATAAAGTAATGTTCATCTGAGTTACAAATCTGTTTTATTGAGAAAGCGACACAAGCTCGTCTTAAAAAAAGGGAATAAAAGAAAGAAAGAAAAAAAAAAAAAACACTTTGAACAATTCACCAAAAATAAAGTAACTGTCATCACTGCTGGGGTAAAGAGGGAAGGATGTGTTGTGGGAACATTGGGACAGTCTTGGCTTCCTTTAGAACCTTCCAGAGCGCTCCCGATCCCTCGACCTCCGCCTTTCACGGTCCCGCCGTCGATCCCTGGAGCGGGAGCGTCGTTCCCTGGAGCGCGAGCCAGAGCGGTGCCTTCAGGGAGAAAAATAAGGATTAATTTCCAAATTAAAACCTATCCTCTAAAAAAAATTTCACTTTCTGGATTCCCATACCTTTTCCTCCGGCGGCCATACAACTCCCTTCGAAGTTCTCGTGATATTGGTTTCAGGTGCATGAAGTTGCAGAAACCACCTCGGGTGCACTCTCTGTAGGAAGACAGTCCATCAAGAGTTAAAACCTGCCAGCCTTGTATTCGGTGAGGCAGTGCCACAAGGAAAGCTGGTTTAGTTATGAAAGCTGAGGAGCAAGCGAGCGGGACAAGAAAAACATCAGATCTTTCCCTCGACAGTTTGTTTTCATTGGCAGAGCAAACAAACTCACACTCATAAAAGAGAGGGTCAGAAGTTTATCTTTGCATTTAAAAGAAAATGTGATATCCCACATCGTGCACGTGAGGCTGGAGAGGTTTCAGTGCCTTGCTGCTCCAGCACACAAACAAGGTGAATGCTTTATGCCCTTTTCATGTCAGTGGATTCTGTGCTTCAGGTGGTGTATATTCATATTTAATAAGCCCAGAGTAAAACCTGGAGGTTTCAGAGTTCCAGATATTCTGGAGCCTCAGGCCAACACACTGATTCTCTTGGTTTGTAAATCAGCTTTAGTTACAGGGTAAAAAGTGGAGCTTTATCTTGGATCGTCTTGCTGCAGATTCAACAAGTTTTTATTGACTTTATCCTGTGGCATCACACAAGCCTTTTAACACAAACTTGCTTCTCAGATAAACTTAATACAACATTTCTCTTTCAGCAGGCACCTCTATGATATTGTACTGAATCACCTGCTGTTGATGTCGCAGCAGCACATCACTTTTAGTAATGTTTTGCATTGTAGCTACATGTGAGTTCATGGACACTATTACTGGGGCTTTATAGCTGCTGATAATTCAGAAATCCTCTGTCAGGGTATTGGTACAATGCAGCCAATGTAAAGAAATGAAAATGAAAACAAAGGTACGTCTTGTTTTACAAAAACAATTTTAAATGTATCGATCTTCAAACACAATCAACCTTCGGTTATTGATTATTTTTAAATGTTCAGTATTTCGGCATAAGAATATGGTAAAATAGCGACAAAGAGTTTTAAAGCTGGGTCAGCACAGGGTTGGTTCTTCATTTAAAAAACCATGATAAAAAAAAAATGTTTTGGTTCTGGGACTTGCGACAGGAAATACCTTTGACATTACAGAAATAATTATGAAATGAAACATTATAAAATAAATATTCTTTAATTTGAATGTATTTCATTATGTTTAAGTCAGTTATCATGTTTTTAACCTTAATAAAATACAATTTTCCTCGTGTCACTCACCCCATTTCATACTGGCGGCAGCAAGCTTCCCTGAAGTCAGTGACCGGGGAGAGCTCTGCGTGGATGGGTTGAGCATTGAACCAACGGTTGTTCAGGTCCATGACTGCTTTCTCTGCATCCTCCTCGCGACGAAACTACACGCAGAGGATACTGTACTTAGGCAATAACTGGAGACTGTTAATAATTAACTTTATGGAATTGTACCTAGAGCAAAAATGAAACAGTTCTAAGATGAAAGTAAAACATTTTTGTTAAGATTTTAAATGCTACATTTAAGTGAACTCATATTACCTTTTTAATTTTTTAAATTATTTTTATATTTACCTTCCTCCTCTTGTAGTTAGTTAAAATCCATCACCAACCTTAACGTAGACGTTGCCGACGAGGTGGTCGCCCAAGTTATCGCACACGTTCATCTCCTCCACCTCTCCGTACTTCTCCTCCATCTCTGTGAACACCTCCTGTTTTTTAAAAAAGAGAAAAATAAACAAACTGTCCAACCATTTGTTTTTATCATTAATTAAAAAAAAAAAAGCCATCAACAAGGATTAATCAATCCAGTTGACTGGTGGGTTAACCCTGTGGAATTAAATGAATAATCCAGTGCAACACATTCACAGCAACATACAGCATATTTGAGAGTGATTCAGTTAAAGTGTCTATTCACACATCAACCATCCTACATGATTATTTTCTGTCCTTGGTTTGTTTCATTTGTATTTGTCCTCACAGCAGCCGTATGGATTCTACACGAATGGATTACCAAACTTTTAGAGATCACTACAAATAATAAATCAATCAAAAGCTTATAATGATCAGAAAATGATTCCCCATGTGACATCTGATGGATCATTTTCATCATTTATTCATAATCACAAGGGAATGATGTCAAATGGCATCATTATGACATAAATAAAATTTAAATAGCATAATTGGTGTGAACGCAGCAGGCATGCAGCAAACTCATGAATATAAAATACAACATTTATTTTAAAATATAACAACAATCAATCTATTTTTTTTCCATTAACTTTATCCCAAATTTTCCATGAGGTCAAGTTTTTCCAGCTCGTGCTGTGTAAATATTTGCTTCAGACCAAATAAAGGATTCTTGCGTCAGCAAAAAGCTGGACACATTTTGGCAAGTGGCAAGAAAGTGTTGAACCTTTCAGCAACAAAGTGTCACAAGAGGCAGATAACGCAGCGGTGAGGTTGTGTCCTGCAACATGTGGAATGGACACAAGTAACAAGCACAAAAGGTCACTCACCTCAAAGAACTCATCATAGTGCTCCTGCATTTCCACATCACTGACGGCACCTGCAAATGTCAACAAGAGACAGTCAAGGCAAAGCTACAAGTGTTTGGAGAAAATGTTTAAATGTACTTCATAATATCTCAATGGACAAAACTAACTGTAACAACATAGCATGATGCTTCGTGCTATGGTAGTTACACTCGTATAAATGTTACCTGTAAACATGGTTCAAAGAGGTAATTCTGCGTATTACTGGATGCTTGTCTCTCTCATATGGTAATTTGACCTACTTCACCGAGGCAAACCTACAGCTGACCCCTCTCAGGCCCTGTCCACACTCATGCGGATATTTTGTAAAATTAAGCCTCTTGTCCACACACAAACTGTTTTTTTCAGTTGATTAAACTAAAAAAATTTTAAACACAGGTCTTTGTTCATCCTTGATATAGACTTTATCGCCACCTACTGGCCAAACATGCTTGTTTGAGAGTTTGGCGTTTTTTGTGTTATCGTATGGACAGAGATATATTGTGGTTTTTTTCCCCAAACAAAGGGGGAAATATTTGTTTAAATAATGACATTTTAGCGGCCATGATGTAATACCACACCATTGTTGGGTTCACCATTTCATAAAGGAAGTAGTTGAAGACGACACTAGCTTTCAGATTTAGAAGCAAATAAAATGCACCTAATGTGAAACTGCTGAGTGCAAAGGAAGCAACACAGGAAGAGTGAGTCAATTATAGCCTACATAGTCTATCACATCTGTACCAAAGGATCTGACACCGAAGCTGTCCTGTGCACTCTACTGCACCACATAGACTCGGGGACATTTGACAAGGAAACATGCAAAAAAGCATGAGGCCAGTTATTCTAACTGCAGGAAATCAAGAGGACATATTACTACACTCAACCAGATTTATGTGGGGAGGTGTGACACAGTGCATCAAGTGGTCAGTGCTGGAGGGTCCTGCAGATGAAGGGAGAACTTACAGTGCAAACCACCAGCAGACTTGAGTTTTGAAGGTTATGAAGGTAAATGTTCAAGAGGGAAATGGTCTGAAATACAAAACGTAAACTTCTGTGATATGGAATCCAACCAAATATAGAGCTGGGGAGGAAAAAATATGTGATTAGATATTTTGCTGTCAGGAAACGGCACTGCTCTCCAGCTAATTATGTGATGGACAAAACTGCATTCACAGGATACCTGAAAAATTACGGAGCTGTCATTTATTACAGGGGAAGCTCATTGCAACCCTTCACAGTTTTGTAGATCGCTCAGAAGATGTTAACATGGTTTTCACCTGCTTTAAGGTCCCTTTGAATAAAGAAGGGCATTGAAAGACAATAAGTTAGGCTGTATAGTCTAGCTAGCTCCATAGCAACAGCTGACCAAAGGTTTTATTATGGAGATGAAAAACAAGAAAAATCTAACACATGATGATTCAGATCAGTTGTCTGGACTGATTTGTCTTTTTTTTTTTTTTACACTGCACATGTCTGTACTCTGGGAAAACAAGCAATTACCATGCATGTCAGGGACAAATAACATAAACTCAGTGCAGCTCACATTCACTGCCTCTGGATAAGGACAGACAAAACTGATGCCTGTAGAGTTGGGGTCAGACTCGGATAGGTCAAGACTTATATTACCAATAAAATCGTGAAAGGTAAAATGCAATAAAACAGATGTCTTGGTAGAGGACCCAAGTGTGTCAAGAGCAATATGAAGGCATTACACAGGAAGCCCTCCCCCTCCATTATACACCTACAGTATCTGTACAATAAGTTCTACTTCAGCTCTACTACACTGGACTCTGTGTACACACCAAACACAGACACTTGAGTAGCATTATTCCATTATCTGTGGGTGCTGTTCCTTAGGCTTCAGCTACACAGCGGAGGAAGAAGGAGGAGTTGGTGCTTATTATACAGCTTTTTCATGGCAGCCATTTTGACCTGAAATAGTAGGTAAACAGAGGTGTTACTAGTCACATTGATGAAGGTTCCGTCGTATTTGGGTATAACACATAAATGAATGTAACACCTGTGTTACATCCTACTATTTCATGTCAAACTGGCTGCCGTGAAAAGGGTCTATTGGTTTTAGGTGATAACAGATGAATGATTTGAACAGTAGAGAGATTATGAGGCCTCCATTGTCACTCAACTAGACGTGAACTCTATTTTAAAGAAACAGGCAATTTATGTTCAACTTACAGCGTGAAGCATCTGCGGTCTGTGCACTGTTCTGGGGATTTCGGTAGATGTTCTGAATCAAGATGGTCTGCAGAGGAGAGAAAGAAAACAGTGGTCAGACAGGGCTGTGTGATAGTTTTGTGCCATTTCTGATTACAACAACTTCTATTTTAGCTTGTTTACATTCTGACAGTCATGCAGGCACAAGATCCTTCATTGCCAAGAATCTGAAGAAAAGAAAACAATGAGGATTACACGTCAGATAAGGTATGACATCCTCCTGAGGCCAAAATTATATATCCTGTGAACAGGCCCTTGCAGCTGTTTCTTTTTTACTGCAAACACTGCTACCATACCACATCTGCTTTTCACTTCTCAATCCATTTTTTTACTATTCCTGTTTGCACTACTCACATCCTATAGATCCAATAACATATGGCAGAATGACAATAAAGGTTGACTTTGACATTTGTGTTCAACTATATTCCACTTATATTCAGTAAAGCACCCCCAAAAACTTAATATTTAATAATTAAAACTTGAAGATATATCTAAAACACATGAACACTTTGGCTTTTTGCTGTGAAGACATCATAGCAAATTTGTCAAATTAAACTTAACCGTGTACACTTCTCAAACAGATCAGATCTGTATGCCTTTTACCACAAAACCTAGAGGGACGATGATGTATGGGTCAGGGAAGCACCCCAGACATTTCAGTGGGGATCCAGGAGTTGCTTCTTTGTTGAAGATTGCAAGATTGGGTGCATTAAACACCAATTTCTCAGGGAGTAACTCATGGATGTAGATGAAATGAATCAGGCACATTTAGGGGACTGATATCTATGGGTGTGTGTGACATTTGGGACTTGGCGGATGTATACGCTCTGAGTGAAATTGTGGCTAACAGCGAGGTGTCAATCCTGCAGAATAGAGCCTTTGTTTTAGGGGGAGAACTTTGGTGGGATCCTCACCTGGCTGAAGGTTGGTTTGTTGTGCAATCTCGAGCAGCGGTCTCCATGTCTGCAAGCTCCGATTTTAAAATAGAAGGAACAGTTGACCCTGGAAGAGAAAGAATAGCATCATCTTTTAAAGTTTCAGAGTGTAGAACTCAGTTTTATGTTGCAGCTGAACACCCCTCACGTCACCCTCCCCTTCCAAACATGAAGGACTCAAAAGGTGTTTAGTTTGTCTAGTGTTGGCTACTGTAAAAAAACATGGCAGCCTCCATAGAGAGGACCCGCTCCTGATGTAAATATAAAGTATTTGAATAGAAAGAGCCCATTCTAGGGTAAAAAAAAAACCCATTCGGATCAATGTTGATGAAACACTAGTGAAAACATCACTAGGATTGTTTTGTATTTAATTTCTGCCAATAGATCCCTTCAAACCTCTGGAGTTAAAGGTTTAGGGCAACAGGGCAGCATGATGTCCACCACATTGCTGTTAGAATTACACAAGGACCACACATCCACAGCTGATTCAGCAACTTGTGAAAAGTTTCACACTCTCAAACGTGTAGGAGGCTCTCATCTGCCTGAGCGAAGCAGCAGCTATGCTAACAACATCATTTATTAACCAAGCCTCTCGCTCCCTGTGGGTTTTAAAACATGTAAAAAAATTAAAAGTGCTTCTCCTATTCACGTTTGCACCAAAGACACAGTGAGAATTCTGTGCGATAGCAAACATCTGACAGTGGCTGCAAGTTAGCTCTGGTGTGTTAATGAGTTTCATTCAATGCGTTAGCTCGGCGTTAGCTTCCTGTTGCTAATGTTAGCTTGTGTGAGGCATTTAGCGGCGCTGCGGTGATAACGAGGCCTCTGAGTGAACCGGGAGGAGCCGCTGCCAACACACTTCACGTTAAACCCACCACGAAGGAGACCACGGCGACAAATGTTCAATAAACTTACTTGTCTTTCTCTGTGCCGAAAATGGACGCCAGGTACTCCGCCATTTTCGGCTCGTCGCGGACGTACTAATGTACGTCATGACGCAAACAGAACACGCATGCGCATTCGGATTGCACTTCCCCTGAGCGCCACACGTCTGCGCTGTTGCTACAGAAAATATGTTTTCCATATAGACCCTATATAAAAATAAAGATTTA